ATCATTTTCTAATCTCTTTTAGTCAATTTTTTTTAAATCTGCCTCTAGTTTCCTCATTTCACATCGGTTAGAATAACGACAGCGTTTCCTCACTTCCTGTTGATAATGTTTTGCTCTGTGCATGTTTGTATGAAAAGTGCTTTAAAAAATAAAGTCCGGTAGATTTATTCTTATTTCTCGGAAGGAACAATAACACAAATTACAGAGCAGCGGCTCGGTCGCTCAACCTTTCTACATGCTGCGGAGCAATCAGTGTTAACAATCACTGTCGCTCCATCTTTCCATCCACATCCATCACTCTGCCCTTTTTAAAGGGAACCCACAAATGTTCCCACAACCCACAGTGAACTTTCTTCAGAGGCATGAAGTCCATCTGTCACTGAAATATTTTGCAACAACTCTCTCCAGAGTAATCATAGAGTGTCCCCGTCCTCCCCTCAGAGCTCCAGTGTGAGTGAGAGCAGAACGAGACGGAGGCAAAACAGGAAAGAATGATGGTGAGAAAGATAAAACACAAGGACACAAAAAAAAAAAAAGAATCCGCTTTACTTCTACTTTTCTCCTCACGATACTTTTGTATGTAAAGATTTGAAAATGCTTTATATGATATTTGTTGAGCATCAAGAAGAAAGGTTTGTATTTTATTGTGAAACAATAAATCTTGCAGTTAATCCTTTCTGTACATTACACAGTAAACGTCTGAATTAAATTCAGATCATTTCAGACGTCGTGACGAAGAACTTTCCAGTTTCTTAACAATGTCCTCTACTGTCTATGATCTCGAATGCTCCACTGCCTGACGCTATATCTTTTAATCACACATTCAAAGACTTGATGACAAATCTCTGCTGAATTCTTAGGTTTTAACAACATATTTTACCAAACAAGGAAATGTGCCGAAGTGGCTCTGACGTGTGTTTGGGAGAAACTTGTTTGACTTGTGATATTTTGTGTATTTTGTAAAAAAAAACATTCTGACTAAATGATGCATTGGCGGTGATTTAACATTAAAAACAACAAAACATGTGAGTACTTCTGTTGCTCAGCATCACGTGTGCAAACATGTTCCTACACTCTTTACACTTGTCACCTTGGTTTTCACTGTCGCACCCTTGTGTGTGTTTGGTTCTACGACATTGCATCTGACTATTATTGTTTCTTACTATTGCTCTAGTTGCACAGATGAGCTCTTCCATGTTGACAATTTGAACTCAAACGTTTTAAACGACTGTGCAAACAAGAACCACTGGTTTTCCGAGTTTGTGCAAAACCTGCACACAAACTGCAGGGGGTGAGGGGGTGGGGGGGGGGTTGCACTTTATGGTGACAGAGAAAATAACTGTGGTTTCAAAATGCAAGTGCAAACGTGTCTGCTGCTGAGGAGTCGTGCATCGCCAGGGAGGACACTTGTGTCTCCTCGGGGTTTGCAGATTCTGCAGGACAGCAAACCTATATATTTAGAACCGAGGTGGAGTTAGCAGGATCCGTTTACCTCGCGTGGCTAACACGCAGCTAGTCGTCCAGGGGGGGGAGTGGGGGAGGGGGGGCATGCATCAGTGCTAAACATCCACAGACGGAACAAACCGATAAAAAAAAAACAACCTGAAACCCGGTTTGTTTTCACAGTGACACGCGCTGCTGCAAAGCTAGCTACCGCTGTGAGCTAACTCCTCCACGTGGGTCTCGAACTTGTGTGTTTTCATCTCACCTGTTCGCAGAGGAGCTTTAAACTGGCGCTGACTCCGCGGAGCTTCTCTCCTCTCGACCACAGGACTGAAGGTACCCGGAGACGTGACGCCGTTCGCCGTCAACCACTTCCGCACTTCCGCTCGCAGACGTTAGCATTAGCGTTAGCTCCGGTGTAACAGCGCCGCTCCGGGACAACGGCCCGCCGGCATGTCGGTCTCACCTGGGCGACGTGTCCTCCGCTTCGCCCGGCTTCACTCCACCGGACAGCGGCTCCTCTCGGTTCGGCTCCTCGGGACGTGAGAGCCGCGGGAGACGGGAGACAACCTGGAGCCGTAACAGGACAACTTCCGGTTGGGTGTGTACGGCTTCAAAGTAAAAGCACGAGTGTACCTTTCCTGTATGGAAGCAAATTGCTGCCATACCTGAAACACAAACATGGATCTCTACCACGAAATGTTGTATAACAAGATTTCATGTCTGACTGTCCTGCCAGGCAAACGTTTCACATTATAACTTGAAAATATTTGTTGTATTGTTAAAAGTTTATTGTTGTAAGAAAAAGTTTATACGTGTGGAGCCCCTGTGCCATGGATGGGAAAACCTCAGCTGATCAAGCTTCATTTTCACCTCTGAACATCATACAATGAAATTCTCGTTGCTCTTGCACAGAGAAAATAATTGTCGGGAATCATGTGCTAAAGGAAAACAGGCTCAGCTGACGGAAGGAATGTGTTTCAATCATAATATCTGGGGAAGTTAACAAACTCTTAAAAGCTCTAAATGCAGGGTTGTTTTCAAAGCAAACCACGTTTGATATTAACTCTGTGTGCACACAACACAACTCCTCATTATAAAGTAAATAACAAAGGAGTAAACAGCGTATTTAAAACATTTATTGAGAATCATCACAGACATCAAGTGAAAAGGCAGTGTGGATTCAGCAGCTGTTACAGGAGCTCCAGGTCGCTGGCCTGACAATTCTTACTCGGAGGATTCGTCAAGTCACGAAACCAGAAAAAAACATCTCTTCATCTCCTGTCGACTCATGTGGAACCATTCAAAGAAGGCACATCTGTATATGCAAGGTGCTGTCATACAAACAAGAGCTGCCGCTTTACATTACAGTTCACAGATACACTGAGTGTTCCGAGGCAGCCCCTTTTTTTAAAGTCGTACATTAATTGTTTTTTATGCATTCTGTGAATACGATTCTGAATTTCTTTAACTCGTGACATTTTCTAGAGTCTGTTTTGGAAAAATACAAAGTAATATAAAATATATATTTAAAAAAAGCTAACAAACAGAATTCTGTCATTGTGAAGTACAAATCAAGTGGGGTTTTTTTTTCCCTCAAGCCCCGTGAAGAGGCTTCATCGTGCATTCACACTGCTTAGCAACACAATCAGCAAATCAACAATCCCAGCAGAGTTGTGTCACAGTCTAAAGCTGCTTTCAGACTTTCACTGAAGTCTGAGCAATTTCCTGAATTTTTCCAGTGAGAAGGCAAATGTCTGAGTCAGCCGGCCCCCTGGTAAAATGTCAAAGTGAGTCCATGTGACTCAGCGAGCGAGTGGACGTGTTGATGGCGCTTCTAACACGAGACAGACTCAAAACTGGGACGATGAAAAAAGAGGATTCGTAAACATAGAAGACGAAAATGAAGATGTCAACTTTGAAAGATGACGAGATTTGAGAGCTTTTGGCAAAAAGGGCAGATGTCGATGTGCAGAAACACAAACACATCATGTCCTGCCCCCTGCTGCTCCACACAGATGTTACTCCTCGCCTGAATGTTCAGATATTTTCTTGTTGTTGTGAACGTGTCGGACGCAGACACTCTCTTCAAATTAAAAGGTAAACTCCGGAAAACGTCCAACTATGCCAGTGTCAGTATAACGTGTCCATTTACAAACTTTCCCGAGTACAAGTACTTTGCGAGTCAGGGTCAGATATTGACGCGTCATTGCTCTGCGGATGTAATGTTGTTTTACTTCAGCAGATTGGTTTTCATGAATAATTGTTGGAGATGGTTACAGAGAGTAAATCTTTAGAGTTTTCTATACAGCTTCAAGAAAACGTTTATAGCTCCTCCTCCGTTGATTTTAAAGAGATGGCACCGAATGTGTGTATTTAAGTTACACAGTATTTTTTAGCAGACGGGGCCGGCTGGGGGCGGGGGAGCACATTTGAATGCTGCAGATGCAAACCGATCATTCTCAAAGGATTTTGGGTAGATTTTATTTTTTTACATGACTTAATGCTGTTGCTATGAGCGTGCATTTTTGTGTTGACAGCCCTTCCCCCTCCCATATCTACTAATCCCCAATGATTGCTTGCAGCCCGGTGTGTGAACATATCAAAACTATTTTTGTGTGCGATGCCAAAGCAGCAGATAAAGTGAAATACACAAATGTCTCAACTCCACAGTCTCAGTACAGAATATTCCACCGTCCGTGTTGCTTGCAGTGAGGGTGCACGTTTGAAAAGGAGGTTGTTGGGGGGGGGGTTCGCTCGGGACTTTACTTAACTATGACTACCGTTGTGTTGTGAATGGACTCCATGACAGCGGCCAGGCGGCTGCACAGGTCGTGTGCCTGGTTGACGTGCACTTTGGGAGGGTCTTTGAGCACGACTGTCTCCGCTGCACCGTCCAGGACCCGGGGAAGCAACTCACCCAGCTTCACCTGCAGTGAGTCTGCAAACAAAGGAAGACGACAATTAAAATGAGAAGCAGACAAAGTGTTGTCTTCTGTTTTTTTTTTGTTTAACTTAAGTTGAAGTTTTGTGTGTTTAAAACAGGAGTGGGGAATGTTCAACCTCCGAGAAACGTACAGGCCGGGAGGCAAATCAGAAATACAAACATTTGTCAATACAGCAATTTATTGTTTCTGCAATAAAAGAAAATAACAGAAAACAGCGACTTTACTTTGAAACGGGTTCAGGAGGTCTTGTGAATTTGTTTGTGACAAAGATAAACTTTGGTTCAGAGCAGAACAAATGGAGAAAATGATCTTTAATGTTTTAATGTTGAATTTATGTCAGAAACACTTTCTGTAGGTGTTTCAAAATAAAAGCACTCCAGCGTTTCTGTTGACCAAATCCATTAATTTGTTAAAAAAGTTTTTTTTTTGAATTGTGAAATATTTGCAGCATTGCCTCACACTGTACAGTACTGGTATTTATTTGAGTACACGAGAAAATAGTCATATTTAGGGCCATAATCCATGCAAAGCCTATGCAAAAACATCGTGCTGAGCAGCAGCTCCTCTGCAAAACATTTTGTTGAACTGAGAAGCTAAATATTGTGCATTGACCAGATGCTGCAAATATGAATTGATATTACAGTGAATATTGTGAATATAGATAAAGTAGCACAGCCTTTCTTTGTGTATATTTATACTCGTACATTGAGCCTTTAACAGAATTTGCCAAAATAATAAATATGATGTTTTCTGCAAGATATCGGGGGGGGGGGTAGATCTCGGCTTATGTTCTGAATAAAAAAGTGATCTCGTGCTTGAAAAGCTTGGTGGTGATTGTCATCACACGTGTTCATGTGTTAATTCAGCCGATCGTACCATCCATGTCCTGGCCCAGGCAGCAGCACCAGTGGCTGCGGATGCTCTCCATGGCGTCCCGATCTTCCTGCGATAAAACCAAGTCCCGGCTCATCAGCTGAAGGCAGGGGATCACAGCCTCGTCCATGATGGTGACGCCCTCCTCCACCTTGCTCTCCTCGCCGCTGCAGAACAGTCGTGAAGCGCTCTCGTTCAACGCCTGGAGGAGGAGGAGGATGGAGAAGGTGTTTTATTATTGTCGCTCCTGTGTTTTCTCTATTCTGTTTTATATCTTCATCATGATAGCGACGTCATATGTTTGTCTCGCTTCACGTTAATGTAATGTCGCTCCACACAGCGAACGCGAGAGCCGCTTCACTCACAGTGAGGCATTTCCTCCTGTAAACTGCGATAAGCGACTTGTCCACGCCACGTTTCTCTCCGTTCTTCAGCAGAGTGGAGTTGGTCTTGTACGCATGAGCCAGGTAGTTCAGTGCCTCCAGCATCCTGCATCACACACACACATTTATATAAGTCAACACATATCATACAACAAAAATATACGTAAATCATAAAAAAAACAGAATACAGATGTTTTAAATTCCAGAATTGCAACAAATTTAGCATAAAAAATACGTGTAAATGTAGTTTTTCAGTCATAAAACATATAATTTATATTCGTACATTTTAAATATGATAAAAAAGCAACATTTTAAAACCATTTAATTGACCGTCTGAACTTTATTACCCAAGACACTGAGAACAGTATTAGTTATTTTCACTTCTTCAGAAACAAACTTTTAATTTCTTGTTTTTTTCATTTTTATACAGAATGATTGAATGTTGAATTGTTGAATTTGCAGAATTGATGTGAAAGTTACTGGTCAGGTGGAGCGACGGTGGATATTTGACACCTACTTCCCGTGCTGGTAGTGCTCCAGGCCACTCAGCAGGTACACAAACACTGTCCTGAACAGCCTGTAGTCATCGTGCCACTGCTGTGAGAGAGCAAACACACAACAAACAACAGTTGGGTTTGTTTTCTGTTGTTGCATCACACTGTAGAGCCGCAGCTTCTTTTTTTTTTTTTTTTTTTCTCCGGCCAGTTTCTCCTGCTGATGTTTTTCTTTTTTTTCTGTTTTTCACTTTAAAGAGACAAAAGGACATTTAACCCTAAACCCCCAAACCCATTAGTTCGTTTCTAAAGCTAATTAGCTATAGTTTGCTGTTACTGAAGAAAAGAAACCATCGATGAGTTAATTTCCTGTGTTATTAATGTGCACACTTGTTTCTTTCAGGTGATAGACAGTACCAAGTATTCATCCATGTCCATGTCTTCTGGCTTGATGAGGCGTAGCTTGGCTCGGGCTTCCCTCATGATACTGATGGCCCTGCACACGAAGCACATAGGAAGAGATCAGAGACTTTAAAACTCCAGCTGCACATCTCTGCTCTGGACACTAGGTGGTAGAATAAGCTCGTGTCTGGCCTGAACTGTATTTCTACTTTATTTTTTTAGCGAGGAGCTGCTGCTGTGAGTAAAACCATTTCACTCTAGTCACTCACCTCTGCTGTGTGAACATATTGAACAATGTCTGTGCAATTTAAATATTTTTTTCTGTGCAATACCTTTCCATGTGCAATCATTTTTACATTATTTATATTTGTTAATACAATTTATATATATCCTATATATTGTACGTTTACTTATTTTTGTTGCTGTAACTCTGAAACATTTTTGGGACTCTTCTCTTCTTCTCCTCTATTTTCTTATATCTTATCTTCTTATATCTCTTATCGTATCATATCTTAATCACCCGACACTTGTAGTCTCACAACTTATTTTAATATATTAGAGGTTTGTCCTTGATCTTAGGGTCTGTGATCAATTTTCTTCCATGGAGTCAGTTTATTATCTGTTCTTTTATCTGTTCTCTCACTTTGTGATACTTTTTAAAAACGTCCTTTTCCAAAACAAGAGAGACTCATCTTGACTTTGTGTACGCGCACCTCTCATCGAAGCTCAGGTTGCGGTCAGTAAACTGCTCCAGCAGCGTCCTCTCGATGATGCGTTTGGGTGCGTTGTTCTGGAAGAAGTAGACCAGAGCGTGCTGCAGACGAGGATCCTCTTGGGGTGTCGTGTCCTCCTGGGAGAGCTCATACAAGCGGCAGTACTCCTCGTGGAAGGCCTGCAGGTACCAGTGGGAAATTTGCGATATTTCAATTTCCGCAAAATTAGAAAACATGCAACAGCATGAAAACACATTCGATTTAGTCTCATGGTAACCAATAGACCTCATACGGGGACTGAATACTCGTTTGTTGATGGAGTGATGCTTGCTGGGTTAAGACAGATATTTATCATTATTCATCACACAAACAAGTAAATTGTGCCTGTGAGCTTTAAGGATCAACTCATTTATCTCCTCAATATTTTCAGTGTGTATTTTCTGTGTTATTATGAGATTATTCAGGTTTGGGAGTCAAGAGACAAGGTCAAAATAATGTAATTAACCTTCTTATATTCGTAACACTGAGGTTTATAAAAATCCTTGAGTGTTTATTGAAGGAAATCTTTCAGAGGCTACTAATTAATGTTGATAACTGTAAATACAGTGTTTGCTGAGGATATTAGGGAGGAAATCCGCAGCTGAGAATGAAAGAAAGGGATTAAATTGCAGCCTTTTGTAATTTTCTAAGTATATTTTAGAGGCACATACATATTTAAAACTGCAGGGTGGTTTACTTCAAGAGTAAATTAAAGTAAAATCACGAGGTGATTTTGTGAGATCGATCAAACCTTGATGAGGCCAGCCTCGGGGCCTTCCTTGTCGAAAATGTGTCGGGCCTTGGCTATGGCCATAATGACGCCTTGCATAGCTGGAGTCAGCATCATCTGGGAAAATGACAAAACAAACGGAGAAGAGAAATGAAATGAGAGAGAAACTGGGCGGCAAACAGAAGACTAACAAACCAACTATGTACATTGTGTTACTTATGTTCGAGTTACAGCTTGTTGAGCTCCAGAGAACTGAGAAACCTTATTAATTATTAATTACGATTTGTTTATTTGATTATCTGATTACATTTATGTGAATCCATCTTCCTGCTCTTACCTCTTCATTGTATCCATCAGCATCGGCCCTCACCATGATCCTGCCCACGTTGGGGATCTCCACCTCTGACACCTCGTCCTCGGTCTGTCGCTGCCTCGCCGGTGGGACGTCCTGCTGCTCCTGCTCCTCCTCCTCCTCCTTCTGCTGCTCGGCTTCCTGCTCAGGAGCTTCTCTGGAGGCCTCTGTCTCACCTTCAGTTCTAGAGCTGAGTTCTGCCACCTCTGCGTCGTCTTCATCCACCTGGAGGTCAGGTGATGGCTGGTTCCTCAGCTCTGCTTCAGGGTCAGGAGTCTGCCAGACGAAGATTTAAAAATTAATGAACTATATTTATAATATTTAACTCATATTCAATTGAATTATGTCGTGTTCCGCGTTAAGGGAACCTGTGGACACTTATTACAGGACTTAGGCAGAGTGGCACAGCTTCTCTCCGCAATTATGTACTTACACAATGAATATATCTGAAAAACGTCAGGTCAAATAAAGTGAATACACTGAAACACCGCAGCTTTTTACAGCTGGAAATACACTTAAGGAGGAAAATTCACTTACGTGTTATAAATCAATGTGTCAACGGGACGTAAGTGCTTTACAGTCACTACCTTAATTAAATTACTTTAAAGCCATCTGACGGAACAACTGAACATACATTACATTTAGGAAGATTACAATCAGTTCTGTGGACATTTTGTCGCAGGTGGTGATTTCAATTTAAAGGTAATTTAGTTTGTTTGTTTGCCAGCAGGATTACACAAAAACAACTGAACTTGGTAGAAGGATGAAGTTTGTATGGGTCAGGGACGAATTGAGTAGATATTGGTGCGGATCCAGATCACGGAACCTTTTTTTTTTTTTTTATCATTGAGAGAGGTGTCTTATGACATTTTCAACTATTTCCCAGGGTTGAGTTTGAGAATTTACTGTTGTTTATGTATCTGAACAAGTTACTGAGTGTAAAACAACAAGTCAGTTGATGTCTGTAATTACTCCTGACCTCCGGTGCGTTGTTCTGCACTCGGCCTGACATTAAGTCCAGATTTCCATCGCTATGCTAAGCGGTGAAACAGGACTCTCGACCCAGATATACACACTTTATATTTGTGGCCTATAATTTCTGACTCATATCCAACAGAGGGGCAAACAGATGGGCGAGGGGTCGCAGAGGTGACCACCTGACTCTCCGGCTCCTTCTCAGCTGAAGTGGAGCTCTGGCTGGGGCCCGAGGCGTCGGTGACGGCTGCTGTGCTGCTGTCGTCGGGCTGGAGGCCAGGGCTCTGTGGTGGTGGTGGAAGTGTTGACTCTGATTCTTCTGGGGTCAAAGAAAGAGACGAGAGAGGCTTTGAATAAACACACATGTTCATACTGCAGAGCTCCTTTCACTCCCAGGATGTTGAGATGGCTTCCTCATCTTGTTAAAGTCATTTCAGCATGTTTTTTCTCCACACGGTAAGAAAATAAAACATCTCATTCCTCTCGTCACCACTACAGACCTTCAGGCTCCTCCCTGGGTTCAGCCTCTGGTTCCCTCTCTGCCTCTGGATCCTTCTCTGCCTCTGGATCCGGCTCCTCAGCGGCTCCCTGGTCCTCCTCCTCCTCGGTGGAGGGTCCTGACTGAGGTGCTGGCTCAACAGCAGTTGGCTGGACGTTGTCTGGACCAGGATTTGGGATCTCGGGCGAAGCGGTGGTCTCTCCCTGCGGGGCGGCCGTCTGGCAGAACTGCTCCTCCCATTCGCTGAGCTCCTGCTGGAACCAGCGGTTGTCTTCGTGGACGTAGCGCCTGAGGACGGGCGGCAGGGAGTCCATGCCGTGCAGCATCTGGCCTGTCTCGTCATCTGTGTCTTCTAGGTAGATGTGAGGTAGGGTTAACTTTCTCAAAAACTAAGGGCCGAGTCACACACTAGTTCCCACTGCTGTGTACAGTTATGGTGACTGAAGTGAACATGGCGGTTTACCTGTAATAAGGTGCGGTAGACTGTCATCGATGTACATCAGGCAGTAGGCGCTGGCGTTGGTCATGCCCCCGAACGAGTCCCGCTCCAGCTCCTCCCACGACGACTCTGTGATGCAGATGTCGTTGTACTTCATCCAGCGCTGGTTGGCGTGGTCGTAGATGTAGGCCCAGTAATGACCCGCTGACGCCTGGCCCTCATGGACGAGCACTGCGTGGAGTCTGTAGGGCGCCTAGATGACAGTACAGACACACTGAAGCTCTGCAGTGTGATATCACAGTTTCATCTCTCAGTTCACGTTCTACAGCTGCACGTGGAGAGAATGCGACCGAGCTGCTGTTTGTGAGAGTGAATGAGGCGAGAGTAAGTCTTACCTGACAGAGACAGTTGTCGGAGTACATGCCCTCCAGCTTCTGACTGAGCCTGTCAATGCTGGCCTTTAGCTCTGACACACACACACACACCAAACAAAAAACAAGAATTATTTTAGAATAATTAATAATAATTAATTAGAATAATATATTACACTTACAGCTCAGTAGAAATTCATTATCTTATTCCTGAACCCATTTTTCGCCATTTTACAGGAAAGCAAAATGGAAAATATTCCCCATGTGGAGCTAATAAAGTATTATTGTCTCATATCTTTCTTTACCTTATTTTATATATTCAAAACATATTGTATATCATAGTGCATTAATTCACACCTCATCGTACCGTACACATAGACGATTCGTACTTTATCTTATCTTACATTACTCGTGTGGCATCGCACCTTGTCTCATATTACTCCTCTCATTGTCTCGTATCAAATCGTTTGGGAAAGTGGCGTGAATTTCTCCTACTCAAGTCACAGGAATACGACTCATCTCGACACGTCACATTTATCGCTATCTCTTGCCTGGGACGGCCATGAGACACATGGAGACATTAAAGTCTCCTTCAGTGAAGGTGCATCAGACAAGTGGCTGAGAGGTTCTTCCCTGAACATGTTATTTATATATTCGTGCACCAGGTATTTTTAGGGCAGGTATTCTGGTGGAACAAAGCGCAGTGAAGGAGGCGCCTTTGGCAAATCTTGAACTCGCTGCTATTTTATCTGCGATTGATCACATTCAGCTCCATCTGTTGCTGCATCTACACGCGTCAGAATAAAATATATCTTTTTATTAACCATCTGATCAACACTGTTTCGGTCAATTAAAAAGTAAACTGAACGAGAACTGTGATTATTGTGTTGGTGTGTATTTGCATCGGAATACCATTTATATCATTCTCTACTTCCGTCCTCCAGCGCTGTAGGCAGTTTTTAACAGAGTGGAGCTCCTCGTCGGTGATGCTGTGTGGGGCAGGGTGCGGTGGACAGTCCACGGGGTGTCTGCACTGGGTGAAGGGCTTGTATATGGGGGTCCGCTGGCAACTCGACACGCTGGACACCAGGCCCTCGGATGAATCTGTGTCTTCTGGTTCACTGAGGGCGAAAGAGAAACATGGGTGTAAACTTTTTAAAGTTTTATATAGAAGCAACCATGTACAACACGTGATTTTTATCGTGTCGTGATCCATTTCCATATCCACAGTAGTTTTCTGGTTCACACCTGTTTTCTGTGGATGTGGTTTCGCTGAGCGGGTGACTTGACGGAGTCGGTGAAGATGCAGCTAGTCTCAGGTCTTCGGCCGGGGAAACACTCGTGGGCTTCGTTGTAGCGAACTCCAACACAAACTGCAGCATGTCTGCCAGAGGATACTTGGTGGGTCCTGAGCCGTAGTTTTTGTAGCTGTGAATGAAGACGATTAGAGACAATTCATTAAATCAAGAACAAACTGATGTCAGATCTCGGCTTTAACGATTAACATACCACTCAAACTTCTGTTGAAGGATTGCAAGTTGCTCCTTGAGTTTTTTCACTTCCCCTCTCCTCTCATGGGTCTGGTCTATGTTTCTGTGAAGATATCTATAAACGAAAAGTTCAAAAAATTTAAGATGAAAGATTTGTTAAAAGATTTATATGGCAGCTTTGTTCTTATCCTCCGTTCTACATTGATTATACGCTGAGCTTTCAAATAACATAACTATCCTGGGGACAATTGATGCAGACCTACTCCCCTACTTTTGACTTTTACTAACGAGGTCATTTTTTTTTTTTTTTTACATTTACTCTCTATGTTATATTATCGCTCACCTGTCCATGTAAATGATTTGTGGGAACTCCAGTTTCTTGTGTATCTTTTCTGGACGACCGAGCTGAGTGTTGAACTCAAATCTGGACAATTCAAACGTCAAGACAGGTGGTAACTTTTTGAACCATCTCTGAAACCAAGAGAAAATACAAAATCGTCTTAGCACAGAAACAAATTTTCACAAACACCGGATGAGAAGGTGTAGAAGTAGGTAGAAATCCTGCTGCTATTGGCCGATAAAGACGTTCACCTCACGACCGGGTGTAACGCTGTGATCTGAATGCAGTGATTCGATCTCCCTCTCGACCATAGCTCCTTCTAGACACTCGTCCAGGTTGTTGAAGCCGTTGACCTGAAGGGGGTACTGACCGAACTGCTCGGTGTTGCATAGCGTCTTTCCTAAACAGAATCACAAAAACCGTGAGAGGCAGAAAAGAAGAAAACTCAAAGACAAAAACTCCAAAAACATACCTTCATGTTTTCTTTCAGTTACAAAGGTGCCGTAGAAAAGCTGGACCATGGGGTTCTTTTGTTTGTCCTCTGCGTTACTAAAAGTAAAACATGACATTATGTTTATGCATCCAGTGAAGAATAGTCATCAAACATGTATGAGGGTGTCATCAACATGGAACTCACTTTCCACTGGCAGCCAGCTGAAATGCGTCCTCAAGCCAGTCAAGCAGTTTGTGGGAAAACTCGCTTACGTCCTAGAATAAAGACATAAGAAAGGAAAAACTCTCCTTATGCCGGATGGAATAAAAGTCAAATTATGCACAGGTGGATTCTGCAAAATGCTGCAAAAGTGAGATTAAGACGTATACAAATCCACATAATGCAACTAAAATCAAAATATTAGGTAATCAGAAAATGCTGATGAGTCTGATTCAGAGTATTAAAATGTCCGAACATTGGTGTTCATGTAAAGGTAGTCAGTGTCTTAAACCCTAAGTCTCAGTGGTGGTTCAAGAAAGGAAGTTAAGACTGTGCATATCTTCCAAAACACATATAAACTGTACTGCTTGTTTAAGAATATGTGAGGGAAGGAAAACAATTAGGGAGGGAAAGAAGTGGGGATGTGATTAACTATCACGACTATCTAGCACTCAAGTGCTGACATATCGGAGGTGATAACAAGGTGCTGCCCGACATGCACCCTGACTCCTGCTTGATGTTTTGGTAAATGACAAATACAGCATGTGTGTGTTGTACCTGTTGGGCCTCACTGCTCCTGAAGGCATCTCGCAGTAACTCCACAGCAGCAGAGGGATCCACGAACCTGCGGGTGGAGCCGAGCATGAGGGCAAACAGACAACGCAGCTCCTGCATGAACGCAATGTTCCTCTTGTCCTGGAAACACAGACTCAGAGTCAAACTTCATCCTGCGCCGGCTGCGGTAGTTTGAAGAAATTCTTGCATGTTCTGATGACAGTAGTTTACTCACTGAGTGGCTCTTGCACTTCTCCAGGAGTCGCTCAGACAGATGGTAGTTGAGGACCAACCTCCGAAACACAGGCAGGTGGAACAGAGACTAAAACAAAAAAATGTACGAGCATAGCTTATAGTCAATCCACGAATTTCAGTGTTATATATCATTAAATAGAGGTAAAAAAGATTTTACACCTCTGACTTCAGCACTCAGGAGCTCATCACTTTATCGAAGTCATGGCAGTAAAGTTGTAAATTATCTTTATGAGATATTCAAAGTGAATACACAGTATGACATAATTTTGTTCCTGGAACTTTTGGAAAAACTCCATTAAGAGATAATTCCTGTATTTCAAGCTTCAAAATCAGGCGTCTCCTGCTCCGATCTTTTCAGAATCACGGTTTTATTCTTCCAATTTCCAGATATAAAACTAAATAAAGTATTTAGTTTTATTAATAATAGCTCAGCACACCATGAAATAAAAACATGTGTTTTCCATGATAAACTGTAGACATTAATACCTGTCACTTTGTCTCGTGGGCTGGTGAGTGGAGCCTCTGAGCACTTATGATATATTTTTCCGTTTGTGTGGGAAATTCAATTACTGCTTATCTCAGTTTTACTGTAATTTATACCACAAAGGATAATAGAGGGATAATGAACTGACAATTGAATCATGTGGTCACTCAGTCTAAATCTGATAGTATAATTACTTTGTGAAGGGAGACGGCTTTGTCAAGAGCTGGGCTGTGTTTGATTTGAAAACAAAGAAAACAAAGATGTGATTTAAATTTGCATTCAAACAACAATGTCTCATTTTTCTCATTTCCAGACAATAACCTCTGTCCTGAGAGGGTTTGACGTCTAAATCGAAGTAGAAGCACGTTTGAGATCAACAGAGACGAATAACCGCTGTCTTCTCGTCGTCCATTTCCAAGTCCGCCGCTCGCTCCATCATCCCGTCCCTCACTATTTAATCATCCGCGGCCAGAGCCGCTCGATGAGGCTCCTGTTTCTGCCCGAGCCACCTGATAGGTCTGACTGACTTCAGTCTGGAACGGACTTTTAATAGAATTAGCAGCTCAGAAAAAAATACTGTATGTTCTCGTTTAACAGGAAGACGTCCACGCACTCGTTTGACTTCTGATGTCTAATTTTATTAGCATGTTATGAGCTGATGAGAAAGGTAAGATTCAATCAGGATTCAGTGCTGTCACTGTGAAAGCATCACAACATCGGCCCTCACACATATATCACATCAGCATTCATGTTTGCTGATGTGCACCGATTTGAAATTCATCTGTGTATGTATTTATATTCTCAATTGAAGTTCCATATATTTCGTTGTATTTGTAATTTCTTTTTATCTATAATCTGTAATTAGAATAACAAGATTATGGTTAAATTTTAAAATATCAAGCCTCAATAACTTTTCTTTGTCTAAAGGGTTTGATAACGGTATCTTGGGAATCACTGCAAATGTTTTATTTAATGTAAATATTTATATATATTGACAATTAAATCTGTATCAGAAATGTTTGATTCCCGAATATCTGTATCAGCATCAGGTTTTAAAAGACCAAAGGTCTGTTGCTACCTGAATACAAGGTTTGACACCTCTGACAGACTAAAGATAGAAACCTTGGAAGGGAAACAAGTCTATAAATGTTCGAAGAGCAGAATGAGGGAGCTATTTAACTCTGTCTGAGCAGGTGGAAACTCAGAAGGAGCGTGGTGCACCCCACAGAATATTTGTGTGCATTGTGCAGGTGCATTATGAATTTCATTTTTTTTTTAGTACCTGTATGACGGCACTGAACCAGCAGGTGTTTCCTACGTTGCGAATGCCCACGGGCCAGTCGTCCTGACGGATCCAGTCTGCGGGGCTGCACATGTCGCCCTGAGCTTCACATCGCTTCCTCTTCATTCTCGCTGCGTTCTCCTCTGCACTGGCCTCCAGAGCCCTGACAGAACATCATGAAGGTTCCCATTTTAAAAAACATAGATCCAACTACTTTAAAAGACACAGGCTGTACAAATAAGCCTATATATTCACTTTCAATTAGATGTTTTAGCCACTGTCTCCTGCATTAACTTGTTTGAACTTGATAAAACCAGAGTCAATGGTGAAAAATAAGCGTTGTAGAAAAATAACCTGTGAAATTCTCTCTCCTCCTCCTGGGCATTGTGGGAATCCTGCAGGCTGAGCTCTATGGCCGCCTGTAGTTCATCTTTACCAATTCCTAAAGAAAAATACACAACAACGTGCAACAATCTAGTGTCGGACAATTTTTTTCCAACTCTCTCTCATCTGAAAGGGTGGATGAAGTTTGTCTTGTTCTGGTTAGTCTTGCATGTAATTGTATATTAATTAAATTGAATTCAGTCAGAGTTCTGTGCCGGTCTATTGTGGCCCTTGCTTAACCTTTCTGGCCCTCCCAGGCCTCTCCAGGGGCCTCTGACTCCTGTGGCTCCCCTGGATCCTGAACCTCTGCAGGTTGTGCTGTCAACAGTCCCACAGCATGTCCAACATCCCCCTGACTGGCCTTTAAGAAATGAGACATGGACAGAATAAAGGAGACATTTAGGATATTATTAGTGTCTGCAGAGGAATTGGCAATAAAATACTAATTAAGTATTGCATTACTACATACGATCAACACTGTGGAGCTGCTTTGAAAACAATCGCTGAGAGCTCTTCTAACGTTAATCATTTAATTATCGGATTCATTAAAGAGCAGCTCCCCGTGTGGCTCCAGCGATGGATTGTCATGATAATTTGAACAGACATTGCTTTTTCTCCGCAGGGTGAATTGTCAATAAACATCTTTTGACACTTGATGATCTTACGTTCAAGGCTCTGTAGAGAATCTGTGGGTCCTGGATGCCAGTGATCTCCTTCAGCTGGCTGATCAGCATTTCGCTCTGCTGAGGAATAAGATCAGACACAAGGCAACAACAAGCGTGAGATCATTCACGCGTCTCTATAATTTGTTTAATGGCACAAGCACAGTTTGGGTGATTGACGGACCGGCTTTGGACTCTCATGTGTGCTTATCATATAAACAGAACTAGGCAACAGTGTTGTTCAAATCTAGTATTTATTATTTCAAATTTACGATTCAAACACAAATAAAATATGTTTCTTGCAAATAGCAAAAGGTTTAGTTCGTAAATCTAATTGACTATGATGTATGTAACCCACCTTTGGGATAACATGCAGATATTCCACATTTTTCCCATAACTCCCCAACTTCCAGTCCACTGTGACTCATGTGAACACAACGTGAGACCTGAAGATAAAAGTATAGGCCTCAGTCGTAGCTCCTGACCCACATCATGGTGTGTGTATGTGGAGCTGAAGGACAAACGCCCACATGCCAAACTGTGTCAGTCTAACTGTGGAAAATTCAGCGGCTTAAAATTACAGCATTAAAGGAATAGTTTGGCATTTTGGGAGATTTATTTGCCTTTCACCGATACCAGTCTCATTCCTGTACACAAGCACATATGAGGACTAATCGCCAGGCAACAAGCAGAATCTCCAAAACGTCCAGGTTCATGATCCCTGAAGAAATCTGTTGTGTTCTTGCACAGATTAAATAAACATGATGTATAAGGTGTTGGTGAGCTTTAGAGGTGGATCCTGTTGCCGATGGAACGAGCCAGGATCTGTGCCGTCTCCGTTCCAGTGTTTGTGCCAAGCTAGGTTCGCTGGTGGTCGCTTCATATTTACAGCACTGACGAAAGGCTTCAATCGTTTCATTTAACTCAAAAATCCAAATCAGCAAACTTCCCCAAAAACTATTCCCTTGATGCAGTTTTTGGAAGATTTGAACAAACGTTTAATCGACCAAACTGTCGGTGTTTCCTTTGAAACCAAACAAGGAAACCTAACAGAAATGTATTAATACTTTACGATCAGCCGTCATCAAATACAAACTCTCACAGGCCGTCATATGTTTTGACCCCACAGACACAAGAAAGAAATAACATGAGTCTGCTGAGCGAGAGGTGCTATATAAAGCCCCCTACCCTGACAGCAGGTGGACATGTCAGGGTCTCTTTCTGACACACACACACACACACACACACACACACACACACACACAGGCAAAAGCACGCCGACTATACTTATATGGAGTCCGGGGGCTATCTGAGACCCTCTTGGTTAGCCTCTATTTAAAGCTTCTGACATGGATAGCACAGGCTTCTGTTTATCATTCCACTCACCATGCCATCAGAGCTGAGTGACAAAGGCAGTGGGTGTCTCTCTTTCTCTCTCTCTCTCTCTCTCTGASTCACACACACACACACACACACACACACACACACACACACACACACACACACACAGACACACACTTCCTATGTCAATACCAAACAGAAAACTGATGCAAACACATGATTTTTTTGACACCTCCTAATTTCTACAGTGTGAGTAAGTGTTGGAACCCCGTACCCTTTAGCACCAGTGGAGACTTGGCTTCATGTGCTGTCTGTGGGGCTGGAAATTAGAAAAGGCCTATTGATAAAGTCTGGTGTGATGGAGCCAAACACTGATTCATCTAAATGTTACAGCCTCGAATAACACTAAAATAGACACATGGAATATTTTACAGCCTTGTTTTGAGATATCAGAGTCATATTTCATTATATATTCTAAAGACATAGATAGTCTATATAATGGAATATGGTTGTCATAAGTTTTAGCCAAATGTGAGTGTATCTGAAAACATCATGTATTTGATATAGTCACATGTGATTAAAACTTAGTACAATAATCCACTTTATCTAGAATATACAGTGGAATATGGTTCTGATTGGTTTAGGTTGTGTGTGACTATATCTGAAAACATCTTTGGATTCTAAAGTTAGCTACTTCTTAATGCACAAATGATTTAGAGCAAGTGTGTATTAAGATAAGAAGCTAAACAAGACTGGTCTGTAGACAGAAATCACTGTTTGTATCATCAGCTACATTGGAGAAGTATATATGAATTTTATTAAAATAAAAGCAGTTTGGTGAACTTTATGTGAGCCGAATTTTAAAGTGTGTCCTGTGTAAACGATATAATAACGTTAAATGTATTTTTAACCTGTGTAAATACAGCTAAATTAAAGTCAAAGTATGAATGCAGTGTTTTTTGAGGCAGGTCTTGGATTCTGTCGGGGGTTAGTGTTGGAGTTCACGTTAGTTCTTCACGCAAACACTCATTGTTACTTATTGTTACTTTCCCGTCATGCTCTGCGCTCACCGAGTTGGTCGAGTTCTCCCCACGTTCACTCTGTTCGGTTCTCATCGCAGATAAAAACCCGGGTTTCCTCCGGTTTTGTCCCAAAGTGTCGGAAGAGATCCGGAGTCACACCAGCTCCATCCGTCCGCGGCGCGAGCGAGCGAGCGAGCGATCAACCGGCTGCGCGCGCCCACCTGTCAAGAGACACACGCGCGTGCACCAGGACGATCGAGCGGCTGACATCAAGGCGTGCGCGCCCCCGCGACGGAGCATTTGTTACATTTTGTAACATTGAAGTAAACTTTACAGTCAAGTGACGTCAAGTTTACACTTCCTCCTCATTCAACACTGTAAATTAACACGATTAAAATATAAACCACGTTCATCAACAATCAAGAAACGTTCAGACTCAAACTAAACTGTAGATGTATTTCCTGAAATTAAAAATAGATCCTCCTGTTCCATGTGTTATCAAACATGAACATAGTATTTTTTATGATATCTGTTAAAAAACTCATCAAACATCATTTAAAAACTTTTCAGCATCTGTCTCAACAACTCTCGTGATGTTACCAACTGGACTTTAGGTTTGTTTCACACCAGTATCTTCATTAGTCTACATCTGGATTAATGTCTTGTGTGTGAATTCCACAGTAAATGATGAATTTAATCCAAACGTGCTCTCTTTGGTGTCTTAAAATCACCTTTACAGCAACAGATAACCATCTGCAATGAAGCAATAAACAGACACTAAACAAACCTTTGGGGAGTTTCCTCTCCGGTGTGTTTCATTAATTTATGGATCACATTACTCGGGAGAAGTGGAAAATCAATATCAGTGCAACCAAAGTCTCTGTGCTACTCTGGTCATTGCAATTTCCCAACGCTCGCTGCTGCTTCTGCTGAACCTGCTCGATCAAACTGTGGATTTCTTTGTGTAAACATTTCAGCGTTTTGCATGTGACACCTGGAAAACACCTGGAATCTGAAAGGTCTGAAAGGGTTTTTCCTCAAGCCTCATGTCTCTGGTTTGGCTGATGCTGCTGTTCTCAGGTAAGATGCTTCCTCACTGACATATTTCTGAAATAGTTATCACCTGCGGGGTTTTCTTCCAAACGTTTTCTGCTTTGTGAAATGCATCTTCAATGGATGTTGTTGTGGTGTTTTCAAATTATTCAAACAATTGATGTTGTTGTATGACTCTGGTTGACTGATGGTTTTCCTCTTTCTATGACTTAAATAGATCAGTGAGCTCTCACGGATCCAGTTTTTGTGATGTGAAGGAAATTTAATCGAATTATTTTTATTTGATCTATTTATTTTACTATAATTAAACACAATCAAATGCATGAACATGCAGTCATTTATGTATTCGTAAAGAGAAATGGATTAAAAAGTTATTGACTTATTGCATAAAAAGTTGTCGTTTTTTTAAATTCACACAATCCTCCAGTTTAACATAAAACCATATAATTTAGATGTGGAATCCCAGAAGTATGATTCATTAATCCATACATCCACCATTTTATTGAAGTTTGTTTACCATCTTTATGGATTGTATTGCACTACATTGAGTAACTGACTTCCTACATCCGTGCGTTGTGGGTAATTTATTTGTCTTTTAGCTCATCTGTGTGAATGTGTGCCAGAGAAGCCGAAGCGGTCGGCTCTGAACCAGCTGACCAGGACCCTCCTGAGGAAATACGACTGCGGAGTTCGGCCGGTTCACAACTGGACCAGTGCTACCACCGTGTCCATAGACCTCATACTGCAGTCTGTGCTCGATGTGGTACTTCAGGACATCAGTACTTCTAGAACTTTACACTTTCTATTCCACTTGTCAGGAACAACTTATATCTTAGAATTAAAATGAGCTAAATCATTCTTTGAGTTGTATTGAAAATTGTACCATTTGTCTTGTTGCACCACACAACTTTAAATTGAGTTGTGTAAAGTGAAACTGCTTCATTTCATGGTCTTGATAAAATAAAAGATTAATCATTAAAGTTTTTTTTCTCTTTTTACCCAGGATGGAAAGACACAGAGCATTACTATTAGTATTTGGTACAGACAGGTATGTGGCCTCTCATCCTTCAGTTCATTGTTCATTAAATCCACCATTTAAATCTTGTCTATTTAAATACAATAATATAATAATATAATACTTTACTGGACACGTCTTGTGTTGTTTGCAGATCTGGACTGATGAGTTCCTGGTTTGGGATCCAGAAGAGTTTGATGGCATCAACGAGATCTCACTCTCGTCTGATGCGATCTGGATACCCGATGTTATCGTTAGTGAATTGTAAGAAACTGGTGACGTGAACCAGTTTTACCTGGTTTTAAAATGTGTTTAGAATATTAGCAACAAGTTAAAAAAAATACTAAATCAGCCTCATCAAAAATAATCAAACTGTCCTTTACAGTTATGTAAGGACAGCAGCTTGACATGACGGTGATCCTGACGGGTCTCATATTCCACCTTGTTTTCCACGTCTCATCTTAACTCCCCCCTCCTCCATGTGTGTCCCCAGTGTGAACGCAGGGAAATCCCCACCAATCCCCTACGTCTACGTCAACTCCTCTGGCTCGGTGAAGAACTACCGACCCATGCAGGTGGTGCTGGCCTGCAGCCTTGAGATGTACGCCTTTCCGTTTGACAAGCAGAACTGCAGCCTCACCTTCCGCAGCTGGCTTCACTCAGGTCTGTGTGCTCGTCTGTGAAGTGGTGGTGAAAAACACAATAAATTCAAGATCTGCAAAATAGAGTTTTCACATCTTAAACTAGGATCCCATTTTGAGAGCAAACCTCCGCCAAGGCCCCAATGAAACCACAATTCCACAAGTTCCAAGATTAAATTGACTGGATCCCAATTATTATTTGGATCCTCACCAAATTGCACTCTCATAGATATCATTCCCCCAAATATTGTTAATTTGTTCGTCAACATCCATGAATGATTCCCTGGTAATGGACTCTTTTCTTGCCTCATGTCTCATCCTCCCACCAAGTCAGATAAAAATCCATTACATGGTTGTTCACAGTGCAACGAACTAACAGATAAATGGACCAGATTGAAAATGTAAATGAAAAACATCCCAAAACTTATGGGAGCTTGGTTTTGTCAATGGTTTTCTTCTTTCATTCCAGTTTGATCAGTTGTCATGAAATTGGTTAAAGATTAAGACCTAAATGACACTGCTGAATTAGCAGGGATCATCCGGACTAAGGTAGCCTAACCCTAACTCTAAACTCATAACAGTATGAGGACACGTCCACACTAATACTGCCTGGGAGACAAAAGTGATGAACGTGCTTTACCCTTCATCTTTTAGTTTTCAACCCTTCAACATCTCTCTCCCTCTGCAGTGAAGGAGATAGACCTGACTCTGTGGAGGAGTGCAGAGAACATCGCTCATGATCAGGGGGAGTTCATGAATGACGGAGAGTGGGAACTGCTGTCCATCCCTTCACGCTACTGGCAAATCCACCAGGACGAGACCGACTACGCACACATCCAGTTCAATGTGTGTCTCAGTTATGTTGGCCTGCATTTGTGAGGGAATGATGGAGAGGCGTGTGTAAAAACTGCAGGTTACTTGAATCAAATCCCAGTAGTGTTGGTGTGGTGCTCTTCAACCATCCATTCCTAGTGAGTAACTAAACTGTGACTGGCACGATTGCTCATCGGTGGGTGAGCCCTCTGTGGGTTCGACCCCCTCAACCCCTCGAATTGCAAAGCGTAAAGCAACTGGCCATGACCTCCGTGGATCGGACTAGTGGGCGAACGCCAAATGATGAGGCAGAGGCTGTTTCTGGCAGGAAAAGAAACAGAGAGAAGGGGGAGAACTGAGACTGTCTCAGCGGCTGCCTGATCAATGGACTTCTTGTACGTGGTGGTGGTGGTGGTGGTGGTGGTGGGGGGGGGAGGGCCTCATAGCCCAGTGCAGGTGGAGCTCAGGGAGGATTATTCATTCAGCTCAAAGTCTGAAGAAGGCTTCTCGGTAACGGTGCTCGAGTGTAAAGGATCATTTGGATTTTGTTACACTGCAGTTTTGTTGGTAGTTTAGTAAGAGGACATAGATCATGTGCATATATTTATATATCACCTCTACATAATGCAATTAATACCATGCACATGCTATTCATTAGTTTCAACTATATGTTTATTATTGAGCTTTCAATCAAGTTCAATAAAGCAAACAAACGAGAAAATATAATATATAATACAATACTAACAATAGATAATAATATACATATGCAAAACCCTCATGCATACAGGAAATACAAGCACCACCAAGTACTACTAAGTACCATGCAATACTTGAGTGCAAGGATGATAATACTTTAGTGGAGAATTATTCCAAAACAGTTTAAAAACTGAAAATGACATCAGAGTTGACTTCAGATGGACATCATGGATAAATAAGAATCAGCTGCACCATGAGACACTGAACTGTTTGTGATCTCTGACCTTATCTCTCGTTCAGGTTCTGATCCGCCGGCGCCCCCTGCTGTATGTGGTGGGTCTCCTCATCCCCAGCATCTTCCTCATGTTGGTGGATGTGATCAGCTTCTATCTTCCTCTGAACAGTGGCGTACGCATCGCCTTTAAGATCAGCATACTGCTGGGATACACCGTGTTCAGAGTCAACCTGACGGATGATCTGCCCTCGTCTGCCGTCACCACTCCTCTCGTAGGTGGGTTTTAATAATTAGTTCTATGAGCAAACCATGTCATCAGTAATGATTTACTCACTAATTATTGGTCTTTCTCAGGTTCTTACCCTTCCGTCTCTTCTCAGGTGTGTTCTTCGTGGTGTGCATGGCCATGCTGATGCTCAGCCTCATCAAATCCATACTGGTGGTGAAGCTGCTCCACCACAGCGAGAAGGAGGTCAGACAAATGTCGGTGTCCGCCTGCCTGCTGGACAAGTACGGCTCAGGTGGTCCCAGCTTCACTGAGAGCGCCTTAACCTCCATCAAGACCCTCGACCACATCAACACGTCTGGAGGTTTGTGCATCAGATGAACAGAAAATACATTGAATGATCTCAAATTTAACCACTTGGAGAGTGCCTACCTTTCTCGCAATGTAAAGAAAGTAAAAAAATAAAAAAAAATTGGTTGATACCCAAACCTTCCACCAAGAATCATTAAAACCAGTTGTATAGTTTTTGCATGATCCTGCTGACAGAGACTAACAGCAAAGAAAACAGAACCTCTACGATGGAGGAAACAATACTGGGTTTGTTTATTAAACTGTTCAACAGTCAGGGAACCTGCAGCTCTCACATTTATCTAGAGACGTCTGTCCACATTAATTGTTTACATCTGAAATCCATTTGTTGATTCCCGTAGATTACGAGCTGGAGCCCTCGCTGGACGGGGATTTGTTGTCTCTGACTGAAATCCAGGTTGCTCCATCTGGGCCCGAGTGGCTCCTCCAGGAACTGGTCTCCCTCCGCTTGGCTTTGTCTCAGGAGGACACAGAGTCTTCGGCTCAGGCTGATTGGCTGGCCCTCTGTTCTAAGCTCGACCGCCTGCTGTTCCGTCTCTACCTGTTGGTTCTGGCCGTGTACGCCGCTACTCTGCTGCTGCTCTGGGCCAGCTGGAGCTTTGCCTGAACCAACACACGCTCAGAGACTTATTGATTCTTTAAATACTGGACAATACGTCTAGATTTATGGTGTTTGGCGTATTTACAGAGATTCTAGATGCAGAGCTTTAGAAGGCCCAATATGTTAGAAGAGGAAGAATGGATTATTGTACTGATCTGTATTAAAATGTAATGAAACTAGACTGCAGTGTATTTAAAATATATCCATAGTTGAACAAACGTCTATTGGAATTGAAGTACACACACAGTATGTTGTATGTTGCTCACCGAACGAATACATGCATATAAATACTTTCTTTTCACCTCAGTTGTTCCTCGATCTGATGAATTGTGTTAATGTTGACGTGCTCCCAGTTCCGCAGCTTTTAAGTTGTTGAGTAAAATTCTATTCTTCAACATTCTGTTTGTATTTTCTCTGCAGATATCCCTCTGCACAGCCACCTCACAGTTTCACAGACACATTATTACACAGGGTGTGTTATCATGTTTTCCAGACATTGGAGATGTGAGTGACGATACTATAATAATAAAGCAGCTCCCTGGAGAAAAGCCTCAGTGCCGGTGTGATGTTATAATATTGTATTCATGCTTTAATCTCCATCCTGCTGCCACATAATAGATCAATACAGCCCATTCAGAGCTCAGCTGCTGTGTCTCTGCTCCCTGTGGGTTTCCTAATACTCGTGATAAGAATATCAAAAGTGCGTCACAGAAAACTTACCGGCAGAAAGATCCATATTAATGCGATTTTCCACAGTAATTGCGAGTCTCTTCTTCAAGTGGATCTGGTTACATGATGTTATGCAACAGAGCTGTGGATCAAAGTTTAGTCAGTGCCTCGTTTCTGTTTCTGTTACATCTTCTCCACCAAGACGTTGGGATTTTGTCCAGGTTACACGCTGCTTAGATCACCGCATGTTTGCCAATGAAGTGTCTTCATTGAGTCGTGATGGTAACGTTTCCACCACAGCGAGACTCAAACTAAAGCTCATTACAGAGGCGACATCATGTGATGTCTCTCATCCAGGAGGCTTCTTCACTTCTCTCCAGGTCTTGTTAGTAAAATACAGATTCATATCTCGCGGCCCCGAGTTATTGATTTTGTCCCCACGCGTTATGTTGCGATCATTTAATATATTTCTTACCAAAATGTCCCCGGGGGCTCGGTAACTTACACGTTCACACAATCAGAGATGTCTCACCAGCTGTCCCTCCTGCAGGTAGCAGCTGTAACTGTGTTTCCTTCGGTCTGAATAATGTGTTGGTTCTCCTCGTATTCTTTATTAAAACAGTTTGATCCTGTCAGGTCACTGGTCCATGTCTGTCCATTGTCATAAGCACAAATCCAGTTTTTTAGTGCAGGGACCAGTCGTTATGTAAAAACTGAACTCATCTCACTTATCTTAAAAACTATATTCTCTTTTTTATGGATTTATTAATGTTACATGATCTGAAGCCTGTTGTTCATTTGGAGTCATCAATGACTTATTGGACTCAGATGAAGACGTCATTGTGATTGGTCTGATCTGTCACAGTTTGTTAAAACGTACTGTGTGTTTTGAATATGCACAATAATACTAAAATTAGCACCAAATATATGACAAGATGAAATCAAACAGTGAGTTCAGTGAAATCTCAACAACACTTTGCTTGTTGAACATTAATTTGTCATGATTTCATTCAAAAAATAGTTTTTACTCTGTCCTGTATATAATAAAATGTATGTGGTTGTATTGAACTTCATTGTTTGTGTTTGCAAAACAACTAAAATGAACCCCATTCAAAAAAAAAAAAAGGATTTAAAACTCACCTTAAAGTTTAACATCTGAATGAAGTCAGTGAGAGAAGTTTCAGTTCTGATCTGCCAGTTTGGTTCGTTTGTTTTCGCAGGTGAGGCTTTTGAGGCCTTTGCAGTTTCCCTCCAAAAGTGACTTCCTGATTTACTAACACTGATCTTTATTGTTTAAATCCAGAGAAGTTGAATACATCACACTGAAATAAAGCTTTATGTAAAACACAAGAGTCCCCTTCTTCGACAGTGGTTGTTCAATCCTCACTGAGTTTCAAACCTCAGTAGTGACAAGAGGTAAAGAGACTGTTGGACTCACTGAGTGTCCACAGGAGAGAGGACTCTGAGATCAGCTGTCTGGAGACAGAGCTGCTGCCGGACCAGATGCTGTACGGCCATCTCTCCACAGGGAGGCGCCATCGTGACTTCTACTTCCTCGGAAGTGATAAATTAAAAAATGTTGAAAGGAAAAGATTGAAGACTTTTTGTCTTTGATATTATTTTTTACAAATATTCTTCATCAGACTGACTCTGAGGTGATGAAGTGAAATAAATCTGTGGAAACTGAGGTTTTCAATAACATTCTTGTTTTGTTGCTTGAAATTCAGTTTCAATTTCTTCAAGTTTTGATGAAAAAAATCTAAATTTTCCCATCAATAGTTTCACGGACAGTCTTAATTGTTTTTTTTTGTGTCATTAATTGCATTAATTATTTATCATTACTTCATATTGTTCAAACAGTTTTCTGTATTTTTCTTTATCACT